AAGGACATGGAAAAAGCCTATTTGGTCTAGATGCATGCTGATTGGGTGTATAGAGTGCTTTGACTATTTCATATGATATCTCAGAAAAGCTGTCATCTTTTTCAAATTTTAATGTGCCACACCACTTTGGTGATTCGAGAAATGCCATTTTAGTTATTTGAGAAACCCCTCTTGTCATAGATCACAATATGTAATCATTGCAGCAATGGTTTTTTTCCCCCAAAAGTGGCTTTCTGAACAGAATTGAAGAGTGTTTCCATTTTTTCTGTGTGGCAAGCTGGTGAAACAGAATAATTGTGAAACATATTGGTGCCAAACATGCACTTAGTCAGGTCATATAGCAGAACATGCTCCACACCAGTACTGTAAAAGCTGGACCAGATGTTAGGACTGAGTTGAGGGTGGATTGAGTCGTGCCAGTCTGTTCTGTACAGCAAATAGGATAATTGTTAAAAACTGGGCAGAACTGTCATACCAGATGACTTAACCAAGAAAATGACATTAACAACCTAAGTAGTTGATGGTTCCACTTCAATGGATTTTCTTTTACCCTTAACTATTTTTGGGCTATTCAATTAGTGATGAATCTGGAGTGTTATATCAAATCCAGAACTTGCACTTTTTTCTAATACAAAATGTCATTTATCAATTATACTCCTTTCAGTAGAATTGGGATCTTCTCCTCACACAGCGCACCTCACACTGACCTCACAGGCGCATCCCACCGTGTATTGGGGACATCTCCCATGAATAATAACAAATAAGTATGGGAGATGTTCCCAATACATGGTGAGATGTGCCTGTGAGGTTCGTGTGAGGCGTGCTGTGTGAGGAGCCAGATCTGAACTCCTTTCAGTAAAATGATTAGTTTCTTTGCAGGTGAGAATGGGACAATTGATGGCCAAGGTGATGTTTGGTGGAACATGTGGAGGCAAAGAACACTCCAGTACACAAGACCAAATCTCATTGAATTTATGAATTCGAAAGACATAATCATTTCCAATGTGATTTTCCGCAATTCTCCCTTCTGGAACATCCATCCTGTTTATTCCAGGTAACAATTAAAGAAAATGACTTTGCAACTTTACATCTTATTAGACCTTAATGAATTTCTTTACTTTTCTTAAAAAGTCCTAAATTAATGCATAGACATATTAGTGTATTCCTATATTCTGCTTAGAAAAGGAAATATGATTTTGGTTGTAACCTCTGTCAAAGCATATTATTTTATAGCCTGGAATACCTCCTAAGATTACTGGGATCAGGGAAAAGCAGATACTGGCTGGCCTAAACTGGGTTGCCACTCAACATCCATACCAGTTTGGCTGCTGGAGATGGAGAAAAATGAGATGAAGTGGGAATGGCTCAGAGGATGAGTGGACATTTGCTAGGACAGGTTTGACCATTTGAGTATGTGTTTGTGAGATGATTGATATGCTTGATCTTTCCCCTGAAACCCTCTCTACTCTCAAGGCCCCTGTTGAGAAGCAATGGAGTGTAGAAGCTATAAGTAATTTTTGGCAGGGAATGCCCATGCCCTCCAACAGCCCATCTTTTACCATGAACAAAGGGAAAAAAATCATTTACTAAAAACCAGTCAGCCTATCTCACATTCAAGTGTATCACATAATGTCCTACAACATGCTAACATGCATGTGACTCATCTCAATTGCATATCTCTAGTTGTTTTTTTGGCATTGTGTTTTCGTAGTTGGCAAATTACTCTCTGTACAAAACAGACAAATTTCTTTTCTTGATCGGATTTTCTTCTTGTCAGGAATTTATAAGAATTTTGGTTGCTACTGGGCTTATTGTAATTGGGTCAGATTGGTTTTCCCCTGTACAGAATTTCATTATACAGGGGCTATCCTTGTATCTTGTTTTTTGGCTTTTAATGAAATACTTTACCTTACAGTTTCCTAAAAAAATGATGGTCTAGACTATGGCTACAGAAATCATAGCTTGAATAATTGTATAACTAATCACAGAAAAAAAAGAATCGTTTAACTGGTATTTCTCTTCTTGAAGTAATGAAAAGTAGTAAGAACAGTAATTTCTTGATGAGTTTGGCTTACTTGCCCATCTTTCTACTTTGCAGCAATATTGTTATCCGATACGTCACCATTTTGGCTCCAGGTGACTCGCCCAACACTGATGGAATTGATCCAGGTAACTGCTCAATGGTGATACATGAATATGAAATTGATCATATAGTCTGAAGCAATGGTGATACAGTCTGCCAGGGAAGGGGGGCTTGGATCTGATAGCTCGAAAATTGGCATAATTACCCATCTTAATCCTCAAATCCACTGCTTGCTTTTGGGAAATAAATGAAATTATGTCTGATGGTCATGTGGAACCTTAGATGGCTAGCATGATTCATTGATGGCTTGTTACAATATTGGATATAAACATTCCTATTACCTGGAAAGTCTTTGTAATTTATCAATATGAGTTCACTATTGTCTGATGCAGATTCCAGCTCCAATGTTTGCATAGAGGACTCGTACATTGCTACAGGAGATGATATGGTGGCAGTGAAAAGTGGGTGGGATGAATATGGCATTGCCTATGGCCGTCCTAGCTCCAACATCACCATCCGGCGGGTGACAGGTTCATCCCCATTTGCTGGAATTGCAATTGGAAGTGAAACCTCTGGTGGAGTGGAGAATGTCTTGGCGGAGAACATAAATCTATATAAAATGGGTGTTGGTATCCATATAAAGACAAATATTGGCAGGGGCGGTTTCATAAGAAATATTACAGTATCAGATGTGTACATGGAGAATGCACGAAAAGGAATAAAGATTGCAGGGGATGTCGGGGACCATCCAGATGACAATTTCAATCCCAACGCTCTCCCTGTTGTCAAAGGGATTACGATCAAGAATGTGTGGGGTGTGCAGGTTCAGCAGTCTGGGTCGATACAGGGCTTGAAGAATTCACCGTTTACAGAGATTTGTCTCTCCAATATCAACCTTCGTGGTGTGTTGGTGCCAGGAACTACCCCATGGAAGTGCTCTGATGTCAGTGGGGCTGCTTTTGAGGTAAGCCCCTGGCCGTGCTCGGAACTAATCAGCAAAAGTGGGACTGGTTCCTGTTCGGTTCCTTTTTGAGATAATGTACAACTCTGAATTTGTTCGTTTGGCAACAGAAGGATGACTATTTAATTGAAATGAGTCTGTGTCAATGCAATGCAGTCTTGTAACTCTGTTGATCCTATACAATGCAAATGCAATGTGTTGACTTGAATGACAATCCAATTAGTGCAAATGCCTATCCATTTTAACTCTTCAATGCAATTGCAAAGTTTGGACATGTCCAAACTCGAATGGACCATACTTCATGGGCAGATAACTGAGCGTTATGGGTCCGGTCTTCAACAATTGGTGGATTGTAACCGGTTCTCCACTCCTGTTCGCCTGTGGGTATGGTTTGGGCCAGCTTTTCAGACCTAATTTCACCTTAGGACAGTCTGACTTTCAATATGCAAATTAGGTACCATACTTTTAAAATTAATTTCAATTCAGTTAGGAACAAAATAATACATACTTCTTAAATTTGAAATATGCATAGATCGACTATATATATATATATGTATATATTCATATTCATATTGTGCAAAATTCGATATTAATAATAAAAAATGGATTAAACACAGGAGCCGGCTGATGAATGTAATATTGTTTATCTTCTTTTGAAATTACAAAACGATAAGTGTTGTATTTTTTTATGTAACCTAAATACCTAGTTTAGTTTCCCAAGTCAAATACAGAAACAGCCCGTCAAGAGGACGGAGTCATCAGCCAGTGTACTCGTAATAGTAGTCAATGCAATATTATTCCAAGGCATTTCATCAGAATTGGGTATGACAGGGAAGAAATGTAGACTCCAACCCATGTAATGACAGATATCTCCGCAAGAGTTTGTATTTTCAAATTGTTCAGAGCTCTACGCAATGAAAGACTGAAAGTCAACTCTACCTACAACCTCAGAATGAAAAGAACAATTCATTTCTAGCACACCCATTCGCCTCATTACTCGATTGAACCTTGTCCTCAACTACACTTTGATCGAGCTTTATGAGACCCTTGAGCAACTTGCATGAAGCAGTGGGAAAAGAAATGAAGAACTGCCATTAGAAAAGATGTGACCTTCGATTAAGTGGAATGACATAACTGGATTTGTTTGATCAGCCTCAAATATTTGGTGTGAGGCTCTGTTGGGTTGAGTATTTTTGTAACTAGTGCTCTATAATTAACAGAGGTCAAGAGGTTGCAATTAAACGAATGATGTCCGATTAGGAATGAAGTTGGGTTCAAGAATCAAGACTTCCTAGCGTGGTCAATTCATATGCCTATTTATTTGGACTGTGAAATATGGTGGCATAAAATTAATGGACCTAACACCTCAGCTCATAAACCACACCACTTTCATGATTATAACATGTTATAGACAGTTCATAAAACCAGGGGGCGGGTACACAAGCATGTGCGTAGGACCGACCTCCACATAAGAGATAACACCGCTAAATTATTGAATTATGGGCCACTCTTGTATATGAGTCTCTTGTGACTTTCATTAAGGGCTCTCTTCATTCCATACACTAGTCACGTGTGAATCTCAACATAACATTTAATAAACCACTTATGCTTCAGCCAACAAGATGACGACGATTGATCAAATGGTTCACTATAACGTACTAGCCTTTTGTCTTTCACGAGGTTTTAGCGTCAGGTCATTATGGTCCTACATAAACTGAATCTGCTTTAGGTAATAGTCACCACCTTTTACCACTTTCAAGATGTTACAGTGATCATTTAAGGTGGACATGTAATGGGAGAAGGTGAATTGCATTATCCATCTAGTTTAATGTAAATGTTACTTTGTCATGCTAATAGTCTACAAGAACAGCAGAGTCAAAACATGGACATGAAAATAAATTATGTGACTTGCAATATCAGATGAAACAGAAATTAACTTCTTTTCTTGTGCGTAAATCTAGAGAGCTGGAAAGCGAGTTCTTCATACTATTAAACAACTTAGAATTTGTGATCTCATGGACACCATCTGTTGTTAAGGCTCAGTTTGGAAAGAGTACAAATGCAAATATGTACAGTGCAAATGCATATAAAATAATACAAAATACAAGGTTTTGCACTCTACATATTTGCATTTGTACTCCTTCCAAACTGAGCCTAAATACATTTACAGTCATTAATTTAAATAATCAAGGTTTGGTAGAAACTGAGCTTGGACTGATTAAGGTTACTCTGACGGGTTCTGTCTAGGCAACCTATGTCCTTATGGGGTGGGTGGAGTTTGAGGAATCCATGAAGGTTTTATGCTCTTGAGTTTCTCAAGATCAGCTAGGGAAGGCAATTATCTGAGAACAAAATAAATTGCCTTTTCACAAGGACTAAAGTTGGCATATTCACCCTGAATATCCTATTCAGGTGGAACCCTTGGACTACTGATTAGTTTAGCTGACTCTCTTGCTCAAGAAGGCAGAAGAGTAGACAGTGGGGCCTGGGTACAACAACAGAGTTTGGGAGCTATTTTGGAGGGATATGTCATCGTTGTGCTGCCTGTTGTTCATGTTCATATGTGTTGGTATTTGATATTTTCACTAAGCAGGGGTTTCTATTTGATATTTTCACTGTTGCTGATAAAAATATTAAGTAATCAATGTCTGGACAACTGTGTTTCATGACAATGTATCAAGTGGTACATACCACCTCATTTACTTGGTTAAGGATCGACCATACAGCTTTTGGCTCAACCAAAATAAATAGAATCCCCATACTTTCCATCCCCATATGTCGCTTGAAAAGTACACAAAATTTTCAAAAGCATTCTACACCACTGAGAGTACTGAAACAAGTCCACACAACCGCATGAGAATAAAGTGAACTTGAGCAAATATAATATATACAATTAAAAATACTAGAAATAACTGTTTTATATACAAAAGCAGATTACAACCGAATCAAAGAAAACAGATTTACAAGACAGAGGTTAAAGGAGTTCAAAAAAGGACCTGTCCTTTCTGCCATAACTTTTACAACTATAGACCTCTTACGCCTGATCAAATTCTTAACATACTGTTGTATGAATACTTTTAACCCATCTGGATAAGCCAGTTACTTTTCCATAATCTCCATTTTATATTTCTGCTATAACTTCAATAATTTCATAATTTCGTTAAGATTAACGCTTTCTAACACCAATCTAGCAACCTCTCCATGTGAAGGTCAGTAGTCCAGCCCATGTAAAGCATAAACACTGTATCAGATAGGATATTTAATTTCTTGAATCCCATAGCATGCATTTTAGCATTGCTTACATCTTTTTCCTTCAATATTGGTCTTTGTTTGCAGCATGTACTTAAATTTTTTGAACCATTAACTGGAGATATTCATCTTCGACCAGATAGCACATTCCTCTGGCAGCATCCTTTTTGCTTATCCACTGTGGTTGCGGTTGAGCTACACTTTGTTGCAGGATTGAAATACTGAACATTAGTGGCTAACATAAACACCAACTATTATTGCAGGAAAATTTCCATCCATAAAATGATTAAAAGGAGCAAAATTGCAATTGAGGTGGTAGAGCACTTGCAACCTCATTATACACTTCATTACCAGAAATCATTGCAAGAACACTTGCCATTCATAAATCGATGAAAACGAACACCATCTCTGAGGAAAATTTCTCTTCTACTTATCTGAGACATGTATTTAGCTGCTGTATGACAGTCGGCACACACTCTAGTGTTCTTTATCACTCTGATTGGCCGAGCATTATCCATTCTTAGCAATCCATAGGTCATTGCTAACTTCTCTGTGTGACTCATCAAAATTTTCTCTTTGTCCTCCTCATCAATATTCTGAAACACACAGCTGGTATCAGGAACATATCCCAATTTTTTCATTTCAGAGACCAACTGATACAGTTCAAAGTATATCTCTCCTATATCTGGGTGAGAATTCCCTTCAGTGGAGAAAACATGGATTCTCTGATTAATTTTTATCCAGCTCCATCCGGCCCTGCTGTTCACTCTTACAACACCCATCAAATCTCTAAGATGCTCTACCTCTTCCCATCTATTTGCAGTGGCATATAGACTTATCATCAACAAATAATTTGCAGAATTCAATGGTTCTAACTTGAAAAGATGCTTTGCTGCAATCTCTGCATATTCAATGTTCTTATGGATCCTACATGATCCAAGTAAGGCACCCCAAATGCTAGCATCTGGTTCTAATGGCATTGACTGTATAAAATCCCAAGCTTCATCCAAATACCCAGATCGGCCAAGGAGATCAACCATGCATGAGTAATGTTCAAGTGTAGGGATTATATTGTAATCCTTGCTCATGCTATCAAAGTACTTCCACCCTTCATCAATTAAACCTGAATTTTTGCAGGCAGAGAGAACGGCTGTGAAGGTTATACTATCTGGCTGAACACCCGCTTCACACATTTCAGTGAAAAGAAGAACACCTTCCTTGCCAAGGCCGTGAATGGAAAACCCCATAATCATAGAATTCCAGCAGGCTACATTTTTGTTCTGAATCTTTAGGAAAACCCTATAGGCATACTCCAAACTATCTGCCTTACTATACATATCAATAAGGGCTGTAGCTACAAATATATCCTCATCGAAACCCTTTCTGACTGCGAGACAGTGCATCTCCTGGCCACTTTGTAATAAAGACAGGGCGGCACAGGACTGAAGGATGTTAGATACGGTGGCTGAGTTTGGTTTAATGCCCTCGCGCTGCATTTGGATGAAGAAGTTAAGCGAGTCTCTGTAGTTCCCATTCTTAGAACAGCCTGAGATAAGAGCCGTCCAGGAAACCACATTAGGCTTCACTCCCAAAGCGCTGATTTGACGGATGACGGCCCAAGCTTCCTTACTACGTCCCTGCACTGCATACCCGGAAATCAGACCATTCCATGTCACTAAATCTGGTTTGATTCCTTCTGTTTCCATCCTCTTCAATAACTCCAGAGCTTCTTGAAAACGCCCCATAAAGGAATAACCTGAAATTAATGAATTCCAGGCAAAAATGTTTCTTTTCTTCATTGTATCAAACACTGACCTAGCATTAATTAGGCTACCGTTCTTTATGTACATGTCTATAACGGAAGTTCCCACATATATATCATGCTCGACTGCATTCCTTAACGCATACCCATGGATTTCTTTCCCCAAATCAAGCGACCCCATTTCGCTAATTGCCTGGAGGAGAATTGTTATGGTAGTTGAATTTGGCTTGAAACCTTCCATTTGCATTCTCCGCAAAATTACGAGCAATGTGTTGTAGGACCCATGAAGGACATGCCCTGACAATAAGCAATTCCAAGTCACCAAATCTGGTCGCTTCTCCGATGATCGCATTTGCTGGAATAGCTGCCACGCTTCATCAAGGTGACCAGTTAAAGCATAACCCGAGATGATTGAGTTCCAAGAGGTCAAATTAGGATCTTGCATAAAATCAAAAACCTTTCTTGCTCGTTCGAGTTCGGAGTTCTTGGAGTACATGCTTATAAGGGAGTTACATAATGACAAATTCGATTCCAGGCCAGATCGAATAACATGTCCATGGATTTGTTGTCCTTCTTTGAGAGCTTCCAAGTTTCCACAGGCTTGCAAAACCTTGACAATCGTAAAACTGTTAGCTTTTACACACGAAAATTGCATCTCTCGGAACAGTTGGAGAGTTTTCACTAGCAACCCACTCCGTGCGCTTACTGCTATTGCCTCACTCCACACGAGAACATCTTGATCGGGCATTTCGTGGAAGACTTCTTCTGCATAGTCTACACCCCAACTGCTCGCATAAAAATTCATGAGGGCACTCCTTAAATGGGCATCAGAATCAAAACCCCACTTGATCAGGCATGCGTGGATCTCAACTCCCAACCATGAATCCATCAAAATTGCACAGATCCTTAGAACTGCAGTGAGAGCTCTGGTGCTAAATATAACTCCTTTAGAATGCAAATCCGCGAAAGCCTGAAGAAGTTCATGTGGTTTAGCCCCTGCTCTGTGGAATTCTTCCACCATATAGCTCCATGTAATGGAGCTTCGGTCAGAACCCACCAAGAAAACCAACGAAGCTGATCGAAAATCACCAACTTCCAAGTACATTCCAATAAAATCTTCTACAAATGTATCCCAGTTCCGCCATCCAGCCGTTTTTATGACCGGGGTTTGAATTTGTCTGATTGGATCCGGAGAATTTGAGTTTGTCAAGTAATCAGAGGTACACAAGGAAGACGAAAATTTACGGGAAGAAGCAGAAGACCACGAAGGAGGAAGTACAGAAGGGGTAGAGGCAGAAACTGGTCTTTCGACGGAGGTGTATGCAACTCCACGAACACGAGAGCTGATAGAATCTGTTCTCTTTCTCTTGCCGACGGATGGGTCACGAGGAATACAGGAGTTGAGGTGATTAGATGAAGCAGCTTTCTCCATAGAAATTCGACAGTAAGAAGGGGACTTGAAGTCGTTGGGAGTCGTTGGATCGGGAAGAAGAAACGGAAAGTAGAATAGCATTCATTGCCGCCAAAAATGGATAAGGTTATCCAGACGATTAGCTAGATCGCTCGCTATCAAGATTTTGGTGCTTGGGTCGGCGACTCGGCGTTCCTATGCCAAACCCATCGGATTCGGGTCCTATTTTGTATTTTCCTTCAAATGTACGTGATTTAAGGGGATCGGATGGTCCTCACACCGATCACACACGCACATCCTACCATGCATTGGGAACAATCTCCCGTACTTCTTATAAGTTAAGGAGATGTTCCCAATACACGGTGGATATGCCTGTGAGGCGCCCCTGTGTTAGGAGCAGATCCCGTTCCTTTCAATGCACAGTGGGTGTGCATGCGAGGCGCTTATGTGGGAGGAGAAAATCCTTTCTCACTCAACATTGAGCTCCTCACGTAGCATGCCTCACACCAACCTCACAGCCACATCCCACGAGAATATCTCCTCATGAATAATAAATAAAAGTATGGGAGATGTTCCCCCATGTGTGGCCAGGACAGGTTGTGAGGTTAGTGTGAAGCACATTATGTTAGGAGCAGATCCGATTGGTTCAATGTGGGATGAATGGTGCTAATGAGCATTGTCAAGTTGACTCGACCCGGCCTGAACCCAATTTGCACTATTGCATCGTAGGACAACTCATGCTTGATGAATAGGTCTATCCAAGGTTCAACATATCGTTATGTATTGGCCTGTATCGGTCGATATATATCGTAACAGGGCCTTTCCGATACGCCCCTACAAGGGGTGTATTAGGTCAGGCCATGGTTCAGGGGGTAGTCGGGACTTAAATCGACCCCTCTGAACCGGTTTTGGAAAATATAAATAAAACATAAAAAAAGTATCGATATTTAGAACCTTGGGTCTATCCTGTTTCTGTTGGATGACAAATACTAATGTATTATTTTTAAGGCTGCGTTTGAAAATGGTGCAAATAAAATGTAAATACCAGTTTGGAGTAAATATGCATTCTAATTCAGTTTTGCTAATGTTTAGCAATAATGCACTTATGTTTACGTAAAAAACGAGATGTAGTTTTACATCCAAAAAAGTAAATTTGTATAAATTCAAAGTGGGCTTTTGTTAAAAAAGGTATTAATTTATTTAAATTATTATTTACATGCATTAAATTAAAAGTTGTTTTATAAGAAAATAAATTTGTCAATACAAAATTAACCCAACTGGGTTGTTGTGGACTGGGCTCTTTCTCTCTCTCATATTTAAACGAACTAAAGTTTGAGTTGAGTAGGAGAACCAAATGGACTTCCTGAGTCAGGGTTAAAGTATCGATACACATGATACTTTTTTATCCAAGTATCCAAACAATTTTGTGTTTCTATAAAGTTAAAGTAAATATCATTACGGTGTTTACGATTTAGTTAATCAAGGCATGAGCTATTTTTTGAAACCAAATCGATACCACCGGTTTTTGTAAAAATTGGGAGTTAAAACTGAACTGAAACTAATCATTTACAGGGTGTTTGGTTTCGTTTACATTTATTCAATAAACATTTTGTACTTGTGTGACTGCAAAACTGATAAATACATTTAATAAGGGCGTTTATGATATATAGGTTCCATTAAGCACCACATCAGCAAAATGGCAATAAACGCCTTACCCGTTTCAGGAAACTCTAAAATAAAACTTCCTGAAACGGGAGAGGTGCACAGAAATCGAAATTTGCTTTTGCAAACTCCGATACACACAAATGCAATTAAAGAGTCATTTGCTGATGGAGCACCTATGTGGCACTGTCAATAAACGTTTGCTCAATAAACATAAACGTAATCAAACATATACTTAAGCGGATGATTGGTTCGACTTTTGATCAATTCGGTTCTTCACTTTCTCAGTTTTTTTTTTTAATTTTTAATTTTTTTTATTTTCAATATATGTTATAAAAATACTATAAATATATAATTGTAAATATATATAACCGTGAATTTTAAGTTGATCAAAAACCGAAATAATCTTTTTTTTTGTGACATTGTTTAAACGTTTAAGATATATGCTTATAATTTAGTATATTGACAGGCCTAATTAAAAAGCAATATGTATTGTATTGTATGATATGTATAGATTGGAACTGAAACTAGGTTTTTCAATACTGGACAAAGGGCTGAACCCAATAATGTCGACGCAGGAGGAGATACGTAGCTAGGGAGGCAAAGGAGAAGGAATATGTCAATGGAGACACCGCCGGAGCTGGTGTTGGCAACGGAAGATCAACTGTGGGTACGTAATTGAGAACTCCAAGTCTCCAACCCAATAAACAAACGCAAAAACAGATGAAAACAAAACAAACCCATTGATCAATTTATGACATGCATGATGCATGCATCATTTTATTTTAATCACGAAAGAGTGAAGGAAATACACAGACAGAGAAGGAAGTACATCATCAGTTGAGAGTATATACAAAGAGTCTCTCACTCTCTCTGTCTCTCCTTATATACATATTTATTTATTATGTATACAGAATATATGTTATGTATGCATATACAACCATATACTAAGTATATGGTTGATTCTTCTCTCTACCATCTCTATCATGGATGCCAAACTATGTATATATACTTTATAATCTACTCTCCCCAGTCTCTAATTTCTATGTTTGACCACCCACGAACGATTCAAATTACGTCTGGCATTCAGAAGCGGCCCAGAAACTTCCGAAACCTCTTCAACAAATCCATATCTTCCTCCCCATCGTCTGCCTTCTCTACTCGGGGCCTCTTCATTGGATTATTATTCGACCCTTCTTCGTCGCTGTTCACCCCATTATTCCAGTGGGAGGGCCTCTTCCAGAAACGTTTCCCCCGGGGAAAACTCTTCAACTTTCCGGGCTTGTAACCGGGGTACTCGGACAACGTCGGATTGAAGCTGCTGATTCTACTCTCAGTCGTCTCGGGCTCATCCGTGAGCATGTCGTTTCTGAACGAGAACTCTTTTACGATGAATCGTGGTCCACGGAAGCTCTTGGCGTAATGATGATCACAGCTGAGAGGGAGAGGGAACCGGAACGGGCGTTTCACGTGCATGTGGTGGAAATGACGTTTGACCGGAGGATGGAAACTGATGTCGTAGGTCAACGTCAATGGTTGGGTGGTGATACCTATAGTCCGAACCTCAGGCTCAGGTTCGGCAGCTGGAGTTGGCACGGGCGATGTTGCTTTCTCGGACTTAATTACTTTCTCACTGGGAAGGAGGATGATCGGCTTGGCGTCAGAATCCGGCAAGTTGACGGGGTCTTTCCATTCGGTGATGACAGTGTCGGGTAAATGGAAATAATTCCGAGCGTTGGCGAGAACAACAAAGAAAGAGAGGAAAGCGAAGGTGGCGACTGCGACTCTGGTTGCCATTGTAGAACGGCAGAAATTAATTAAGGTGTATTAGCTGCATGCAGAGAGAGCACGGGGAAGAAGTTGGGGCAACCATTTCATTTATACAGACGGGAAGAGTGGGTTCGGATTCGGGCAGGTGATGGGAATAGAAGGGTGAGCGTGCAATGAGGTTAACCGTCCACGTGATAGGAAGGGAACAAACGTTCCTGCTCAAGCTAAATATTAATAAACCTTAAGCTTAGCAGTTCGCTCGGGTGGGCATTGGGTTAGCCGTGAAGAGAGGAGGGGACTGGGGAACAAGATGGTCCAAAGCTGACCGTCTTCTTTCTTAGCCTTGACGTTACGTGGGAGTTGAGGATTGTCGCTCTCGGGTACTCGGGTGGCTTCTGCTCTATGTATATCGACTTAGAGCTTTTTTTTTTTTTGGCAAAGGGTAAATTTCTTAAACTAAGTGTACCTTAGGATCCATTTGGAAGAAGTATAAATATAAATATGTAGAGTCTAAAACCTTGTATTTTGTATTATTTTATATGTATTTATGCTGTACTTCCAAACTGAGCCTAACTGTTTGAAAATTAACTGATGCTACCATACTGTTTTTACAATTGTCTAGCTTTATCATTAATGTTAACATCCCTTAATATTTCGTCAAAATCCATACATTACACGCTGATACCACGTGAATTATCCTCGTCCCCTTCCTCTTAACTGACACCCCTTCCTCCTCCGACCTCTCTCTCTTTCCTGTATCTTTCTCCGACTGTCTCCGTCAACACCAGATCAGCAGGAGCAACTTTGCTGACAGATCCAATTCTCAAAAGAGATCTGGTTCATCGTGGTCGCACTGAGAACTGATCCAACATAAAGTCTGCTTGTGCAAACTCTCATACCCAACCGGGAACTGATCCGAGAAATTGCATTAGCCTGTTTCCTTCTCCATCTCTTTCCCCCTCTGATCCCCAATCGATGTGTTTGTCGTCGGATGTTCACTTTTCTCCTCTCGCCAACCTTCCGTAATCGTTGGCTTCGACTGTGGGCCACCCTCGTTACCTTCCCAACATCGACTTCTTCTATTCGAAGGGGAAGCTACTTTAGATTTTGATTGCTGCAAGGGTCCTCCTTCAGAGTGTTGTAATTAGATTTGAGAAGGCCGTAATCTCTCTCCAATTGCTTGGTCTTCCACCGGGCTCGCGGGCGATGCCTCATCTCTCTCTCTTCCCGTACCGTAACCCCATCAGTGACTCCTCTGCAACAGAGGCCTCCTCATTCGTTGCTTTGATCGGCTCTCACATGGATTTACTCTTATAAACTTCACTAGACTTAACATTTTTATATAGTAAAATTACTTTATTCTTTTTTTTTTATCTAAATTCAGATATTTTTTTAATTAAAAGTGAAAATTTTTGGAGGTATTTTAAGTATATTTTCATAAGGATAACATCAGTACTTTTGAAAAAGTAATGCATTTGGCCAGACGTTTTTATCCATGGCAATAGAAAAAAGGGAGATAACTGCAGGTTTTTTCAATACTATAAGGGAGGTTTTCAATACATACAAATGCAACATTTATACAATACCAGGATGCCAACACAACCTTAATGAAGGAAACTCTAATTCCGGCAAAGAAGGTGACTGCGCTAATCATGTTGCTGATTTCTCCCTCCTTAAGTTTATGAAGTCA